GGTTCCGAGAGGACTCGAGGTGTTCCGAGGTATTTCAACGAAAGCGTTGGATGACAGGCTCACATGGCGGAGACTGCGCATGAAACGAGTCGAAAGACGATCATCATCTTCTCATCATCTGCTCACTTTGTAATGCCCGATACAGCCTCCGTAATGTTGACCCAGTCACTTAACAAGTTTCCGTCCAAAAAGACCAGCCTCAGAGTGGATACAAGCGAGGAGCTCAGCTTCCAAGGACCCAGCCTCTGCAATCTATTGAAGCCCAATTGAAGGGCCTCTAGTTTTGGGAAAGCTGGAGCAATGTACGGGAGCTGCTTGCCATTCACCCGGCGTCAATCTCTGAGGGCTGAGGAAACTAACCTCCTCCCATGACATTAAAGTGTCATTAAGCCTCAATTCGGTCACCCGTGATGATGTTTCCGGCAGAGGGGACGTCAGTGTCTGGAAACGATTCCGGCTGGAAAGCGGAATGAAACGTATTGGTAAATGCGCAGTGTAAAGACCTACTCGAGACTCAGGGACTTCAAAGCGGGTAAAAAGCTCATAGCAACTAAGATGGAGTTCCAGCCCGTAAACAAATTCTTGGATAGGTTCAAGCCCTGTACATCTTCACGGTCCCCATCAGTTGTACTGGGGAAGGACAAAAGCTAAATGTTGCTCACTTCGACACCATCTCCGCAATTCATCGTCTGCTTCTATGCTGGAGACACCCTCTCCATCAAGGCTGAGTTCCTTGAGCTTCTCGATACGAGAGAATTTCTGCCGTACGCGATCGAAATTGGGCGCTTCGATCTCAATCGTACCTAGCAGAAAAACCTCTGCAGTATTGGGGGCCAGTTTTTCCTCATGGGCATTGAGGCCGCTAAGGTATTTGTCTTCTAGTGCGCGACGGAAAGTTACACCAAACGAAGTCTCCGCTGTCTGGCGAATGAATGATCCAGCGCCAGGAATGCTAGAGGTTGAAAGGTCAGAAGTATTCTAGCCCAATACCAATACGCGGCTCACCTACACTGAAAGTATACCTTTCCGTTATGTTCGCCACTATGTTTGCCCCTGTTAGGATCATCCCATTCGACGCCCAGCCAGGTACCTTTAGTCCTTTCGACTTCTCCCGTGTAACAAACGGTCCCAAGAGACCCTGAATGGCTGAGACGAGATCCAACACCCATTGATCGCTTGCAAGCCAGAAACAGATGCTGAGGGAATTTACCCGGAATTTGCCAGCTCTTGTACAACGTGGTGCCGATCTACTTCCGATTCTTGAGATCGGCTCGTTCGACACCCCTCTTTGAGTCAAAATTTTCCCTTCAGTTGCGATATTGATTGCATTGAAGCCCCTCTAGAGACAAATAGTATGTTAGAATGGCTTTCGTGTTCCCTTTCGCCATTGTACTCGACGACTCCCCGCCGGTGTTCTCTGGTGCTAGGAACATGACAATAGATGCCAACCGATGCGATTTTGGCTTGTAAAAGGGGGGTTGCTTTGGCCAAAAACATCTTATGCAGGTTGTGCGCTCTTCATGTCTGCTCAGAGAAGAGAAGTAAACGCCGAAGTTGGGGATTGCCACTTACGGCGCTTGCACATATCCAATAGCTAGGCTATATTTACTTGGGCGCACAGTGGGCATGAGCGCATTTTCCATTATCACATAAGTCACAACAACTGATCCCACTCTCACTAAAGCAGCAGGTCTTTTACTAGGTGGCATCATAGTCTGCCTTCATCTTTTCCGTCTTTAAGTTGATTGTGGCTAACTTGAGCCCCTTCCAACTGATTTCAGCCTGTTGTCGATCCAGAATGGCAAGGTAGGGTGGCGTCTACCCTAGCCCATGTCATTAGAGCGATAAAGTTTCTGAGGTGCTTCTAATGCGACCTTTTGTCTCAAGGGGCTCGAATTTCCTGGTCTAGAGACTGGTTGTCTTTTTTTCCATCGCCACGGTTGGAAAAGTGTGGGAGACACGGGTCTCCTATCTGATCTCGCCGCTTGACCTGGTTTCACCAGAGCTTCTCGTCCCACTTAGTGCGTTGGCTTACAGAGTTCTTGTGCTTAAGCCCCTAAATCCCTTGATGCCTCCCATCGGTGTCAATGGCCACACTCCTGCTTGTTAGCTATGTGTGTAACCCTCGACTTGAAAAATGGTTTTGATATCCGAGCGTTGCTTGGTTGTACTCGTCCGGCACTTCTACCGGTGCACACACACCTACGCACGGTTTGAACCACCCGAGGATGCGACTATCATGGATTCCAGATAGTGGTTCCGGCGTGCAGACGCTCCTCTCCGCATGAGTTAAAGGTGTTCATCAGTAGGCCCGTCATAATTTCTCTTCCGATAGGTTCCAACGGATGATGAGGGCGTCCCCAAGCCTTCCACTTCCAGTCCTGGTACAAGGGGGGCGCACGTACCCCCTTTCCAGCGGACTAACGCGCACATAACTCAATAGCAACCTTCGGTGGAGGGCGCTCAGCACTGATCACCCTTCCGAGTTAACGACTGAGAAAAGTGAAGTTCGTACTCGTACCAGGGACGTATGCGAAGAACCATGGGCCATTTGCTGGTTCCTCGAAGCTGGAAGCACCAGATCCCCGCCCTATAGCATAGCTCGGAATGTGTCGAACTTGCCGTCCCAACGATACGATTCTTAAACCCCATGCGCTCCAACCTCGTTAAAGGGTTGGCCACTCACCCTTACAGCTTCCATGATTTTTCTGGTTATCAAGATCGGCTACTTTTCTTTTCTTCTCTGCCGTGATTATGGTCAAAGAATATGAGTCGGAGATTGGGAAGCACCGAATACCCACCCTCAGCAGATTTCTCCACTTGATCTTGCTTAGAAAGTTCCGTCGTACTGTATGGTTTATCCAGAGAAATACTGGAGTGCGTTTTACGAGGTCTGCGTTGCGTCTCGTCGCTAACCATGGTATTATCTTGTGTTTTGGCTATGTGCCCAGCCGCAAAACTTGATGAATGACGTTTTTTCAGCGCCGCTTTGTTGCCTTCATTCTGTTGTGAAGCCATCGCCGTTTCTTGAGTGGTCAGCCACTCTATTTCATGAAGTTCCCGCTGGCTCACATAATTGAATCTTCCCGCAGATGTGGCTAAGTCAGCACTTGCGGGATGCTGTGTACGTAGATCTCGTTTCTAAGTGTACGAGTTAGTGATGTTGGAGTGGCTGATTACAGATCCCGTCTCGAACGAATGGGGGGAACACCCCGAGCTTCGAATCATGATGGGTCACACACATCGCCGTGTCTCCATCGGCATACGCACGCGATGGCTCAGAAGTAAGGAGAGCGACGCCATACATCGAACCACACATCGAAGCCCGGAAAAATGCGCTTCCAAGAGAACTCCCCCGTCGCCCAGGACCCTCGCGGTCTTGACAACGCAGTGCCTCAGCAATGGTCCATCAGCATTTCAGCGTATATAAGCAGGCACTACTAGATGAGATCCCTCGCGGAGCTGCGCTCTTTCACCTCTGTACAGTCATGACCGATATGGAGTTCACACTCTCCAACACAAGCCTACGGAATACTCAAATACACGCACCCAATGGGTCGATACTCTACACGATCATGTCCGAGACACATTTTTTCCACGCGGACAACACGACTGTGTCGCGTGTCGTCGATGGACAACTTGTCGAGATCGTCAAATTCGAATGGCATGATGCATCGGGAAAAGATGTGATGATGATGCGGGGGAGTGGGAAGATGTTGGTTAAGGATTATCTGCTGCCCAAGGGAACGTTCTCGAGGTCAGTAGCCTCAACCGTTATCTTGTTGGTTCAGAACCAGTTGAAGGGCATATCATCGCGTCGTAGTTCTAGGGCATTCCCAACACCTAACGGGGAATGGACGTGGAAATTGGATGGGCCCGTTGTGCGTTGATGCGCTGTTGGATGGTGATTGTCGCATTTTCTAATATTCATGGCGTCCCCAGGTACACGATCCAAGTGGGAACGTTCTGGCGCGCTACCAGAAGAACGAGCGTCTATTCGGCTCAAATAAATCTGCGACTGGAGCGCCAGCCTCACTTTTCGTCTCACCAGAGGCTTCGCAGCGATTGGATGACGTTGTGTTTGGGCTTCTCGTCATGCATAAGGAAAGGCAGAGGCAAGACAATGCAACTTCGGCGGGTGTTGCGGGCGGCCTTGCTGCTAGCGGAGCCATGTGATCATCAGCAGAGTTTCATGCGAGTTCCAGTCCCTACTAATCTGGGCGAAAGACTGCTGTATGCGTGGATCCGGATGTATTAATACTCTTCTGTACGCGTGCGCACTTGTTGCACATGTCATACAGGCAAATGACAACTTGGATCATAATGAGAGCGCAACGTATCAAGATGGCCGGCTGAATCATTCAGATGCATAAGCTGTGCAGCAGTGCGGTTTCCACGGCGAGGTCCAATGGGTGTGCAAATAAGTCGAGGCTGCAACAGTCTTTGAAAATGCGAGTCATATGGTTAATTTTATGGAAGCTGTAAAGATCCTGTCGCTAATGATTTATTTAACAGAATTTAGGCAGGGATCATCGTCGAATCCAGGACAAGGGCACATCGAAGGTAAAGATAATACGCGAACCCATTGCCGTACATACAGCCATTACGATACAAAAATAGATCTGGTGTGGAAACCAATAATGTACATGCGTCAGGGGGTCGCGGGGAATAAGATAGAATTAAAGAAAGCTCCGTGACCACAAATATCAAACACGACACCTTTGTTGCTTCACCCATCACTGATTCACAGGCAAGTGTATCCACCCTGCAGACTGGCTGTGAAGACAAAATGGAGCGGAGATGGCATCACTCACGTCAATAACCAACTCTGATCCCGTCGTAAACTTCGAGGCATCTGACGCGAGGAGTACCGCTGCACCTTTCAAGTCCTCTGGCAAGCCTAGCCTTTTCATGGGCGTACCACGGATCCATTCGTCCAACATACCCCTCCCGTACTTTTCCACTATCGGTCCTGTCATCGATGTCTCGATGTATCCTGGACTGATCGCGTTCACGCGAATCTGGTGTTCTGCCCATTCGCATGCAAGCGACGCAGCCATCTGCCGGACGGCCGCCTTAGATGCATTGTACGGCATCTGAAGTTGTGGCCAGTTTACAATCTAATTTTCAAGGTCCACGAGTGAAAATCGGAAATGATGCACTCGTGATAAACTTACTCTTCCACTCATACTTGAAATGAAGATTATTGACCCGCCTGTGCCTAATGCCATCATATGTTGGGCGGCTGCGCGAGCGCAGTAGAATGAGCCGTGCACGTTTACGTTGTAAAGGGACTTCATCCGCTCCGAAGGATACCTATTTAGGCGCTCTAAAAACATTTAAATTACGACTGGATAGTCAACGTACTCGAACGATGAATAGTTGTGGACAACACCTGGCGACATCCGAAATAAATTAGAGCTCCGCTAAGTTTCAAAAACGAAATGCAGACGCTGTAGGACTCACCGGCTGCGGTAAGTATGCAATCAATCTTTCCCCACTTTTCCACAATTTTCCCCATACTCTCCTGGACGGCACGCTCGTCCGTAACATTCAGCGGGTAAGCCACCACTTCAACTGGGCCTATACCCTTCTCAGTAGCCCATTCCGAGAGATTTGTGGCAGCGGCCTCCGTGGCGTCAGGTGAAAGATCGACAAGGGCAACCCTGGTGCTTCCACTGCGTGGGCATAAACCAATGCGAAACGTAAGGTGACCAAAGTTAAATGGAATACACCTGGATACAAACGACTCAATGAAAGCCTCGGCGAAACTGTAGCCTAAACCCCTTGCTGCGCCGGTAATGACGCAGACCTGCATAAACACAGTAGCGGATGAGTAAGACGACGAGAGCTGCAAAAGTCGAATATTGGAGCCATTATCTATGGCCCCAAGTACGAACTTTATCCTCCAGACTGAGTGTCTCAAGTGTCCGACAAAGAGGGTAAGTCTTCGCCACATTATTGAGGCTACTGCGGGATGAAACAAGACGTCGAGAAGGAGCCAAGACCGCCGAGCGAGTTTGCGCTCCCCGAATCGCAGGCCCGAGACAGATAGAATTCAGTGTTCTGGCCGCCGAGAGGATTCGATACATATCCCCTCGAGTGGAGTGTAGTAAGGAAGCAAGCATGTGGTTCAATGGACTAAGAGGAGATGAAGCGGCTTGCAGTCAGGACAGAGTACAAATAGTGAAGTAAGGCACAGGGAAGAAAGGGGCTCGCTTGCTGTACTAGGTAGTGATGCATATTATTTACCACCACGAAGCGGAAGTGTGTCGGAAGTGTGAGGTGTCTCAAAGATGACGTCTGGGTGGGTGACGACTCCGACCGCCGCTGGTGTAAGGTTCATCTGACGACACAAGGCGGAGATGCTGTGAATGTTGGAAACTGGTACTCCAACGGACTGAAGCAGCTCCGAAGACAACACCCTAATAGAGCAGGTCTGCTCTTGGGTCGACTGATTTAGACCTCAAAACCCTGAGGTCAAACAAACATCAATATTGCTGTGCGGGATCATCGCCATCGGATCTCCGGTTTAGCGCCGGATCACGTGAGGACTTCTCGTCAAGTCCCTGAAAGGCAAACAGGGCGACACCCACGTCTGTTGGACATCCCTCCTGGTTCCTCATCATCTAGTAGGCTGAAGGGCCTTTTCTTGATATGTTCTGGAAGTAAATTGGGTCGTTTCTCGAGTCCCAGGCGAAAGCGCGCTAATTACTGTTCAAACACAGGAGATTTGCATTCCAGCAGACGTCGAGCATCGATACTCTCCTGGATAGGGAGGATGCTGACCTTGAGTCTATTCTGGATGACGATGATCTCTTAAGTGAATGCAAGAGCCAGAACACGCGTCTGATTGACTATTTCCAACGAACGGATGTCCTACGCAAGCTTCTCGGTTATGCATCAGGAGAGATCGAAGGGGATGGTATGGGACGCTTCAAGTGAGTGAATCGTGCCACTATAAACCCCTTATTTTCGCACTATCTCTACAAGCACCCGGCCTTTATGTGCGTGAACCGCGCGCTTTTGGTCATGTTCCCCAACCATTCAATACCCAGAGTTTGACTCTTGCTCACATAGATACCCACATGTGTCGACAGAAGTTCTATGTTGCGAGATATGGTCTATTGTTGAGACCTGTGTGCGAGAGTCGGAGCAACTCCTTGTCCCATTCTGGGACGCCATCCTGGATACCCCCCCTCAACAATTAACCCAGAAGCCATTACTGGCTTCTCACTTCACAAAGATCAATGCAGTCTTCATGTCTAAAAAGCCCAAGGAGGTTGTTCCACTCTCTGTGTGCAAGTCGCACTTCATCTTGTTGACGATTATTCACAGATGCTAGACTTCATTACAAGCCAACCTTCCATACTTGAACGGTTAATGAGGCATCTAGAGACGCCTGCAATTGTTGATCTATTATTTCGCATGCTGCAGACGGATGACGCTTCTGGCGGCTCTGACGTTGTTGAGGTTCGTGATATGCCTCCTATGCAATGGGTGGCCGTCTCATCCCAGCTTCGTCCCCCAGTGGTTGTCCTCGCAAGGTTTCATGCAGAAACTTGTCTCACTACTGTCACCACGTCATCCTCCTGATCTACATGCCATCGTTGCGGAGATTCTCAAAGGAATCATTGTCATGTGTGCACCTTCCCCTGCTAACGCGAACGAGAGCCAAGTCGTCTTAGTGGCGAACCGATTCCCACGTCAACTAGTGTCGAAAGACCTGATTCAGAGCCTCGTAGGCTTCATGCTTGATGATGCACCGGAAAGACGAACCAGCATTCGCAGCGTGTCTGCAATTCCACATTCGAACGCAACGCGTGAGAATGATGACGATGTTCAATCCGATTCTGAGTCACTATCCTCGGGCTCTGAATATCATTCCGCGACTTCAACGGGTACCGAACGATCAACTTCATCTCTCCTCCACGTCGCTTCAGTCATCATTGAGCTCATGCGCAAAAATAATTCAGACTTCTTCGAGCCGTATTTATTTCACACACTCCGTCATCGTTTAATCCAAGTTCAGCAACAGTATATTCCCACAATAATTAGAACGACTTCGGACCCCCAAAAGCGTGCAGGGGAGGATCGCGAAATATTAGAACAGAATATGGATAGTATGGTTGATCAAATGGGGATCGTCCACTTTGGTGGTCTGCTGGAGATATTGAGCGACCGGCTATCCCAGTTTCAGGCCTTGCTCAAGAGCCCTCGCTCATTTGTGAGTCGTCACACTGCACTGACATTTTTGCATGGGGCTCATATATTCTAACATGGAGAACGGCCCAATATTGACGACAGTCGGCGAGGTTGTGCCGCTCACACTCGAGCGGTTTCGTATATGTGAGCTATATGCTGAGCTCCTTCATTGTTCAAACATGTCACTCCTCAACCGTCCCGTTGGTTATGGCCCTGCATATGACGATGAGGGTCGCTTAATGGGCGGGCTGAGTGCTCTGGAGGAACTGGCACGAGTAGTATCCAATGGAGGCATGGACGATTCCCCCACACCCCCACCTCAGGTTGAAAGGCCCCCGGAAACAGAAACCGAAGAGCCAACTCCGTCACGAGACCTGCAAGCTTCTTTCGCCTCCACGGACTTGTCGGTCGGCTCCATCACATCTGGAGGTGACACAGAGTATCTTAGCAACCTGGGAGACGACAGAAGCGAAAGCGGAAGCGATGACAGTGGTCACATGGAAGAGATTAATATCCATGAGGATGGGTCCGCCGTTCGACAGCGTCGTGAACCCTTGCCACCGGCTCCTTTTGCAGTGCCGAGCCCGAGATCACAGCCCCATCCCCTTCCAGACACCGAATCATCTTCAATTTCCTCTAATGCCAATCTTTCTGCGGACAGTTCAACTCCTCAGGAACCTGTAGAAGACATTGACCCGTTTACGTTCACGGACCCGAATGAAATACCGCCGAGCCCACCATCTGATGCTACGGGCATGTCGGCCTCTATCATATCATCGGTGTCCTTAGACACGTCACGACTTATCTCAGTTAGGGATGAACCTGAAGGAATTTTGACACTTTCACGATCAAGTCCGGATCGTCCTCAAATGCCGCCCGGCGACATGTTTAAGTCACGATTCCTCGAATTGGACGTCATCTCAACCCTATTGGTATTTATTGCTTTCACCTCATTCTGACCACCATACTGAGTGTCAGTGTAGGATCTATTCTTTGATTTCCCGTTGAATAACTTTCTTCACAACGTTGTCTACGATCTACTTCACCAAATTATGACCGGGCGCATGGATAGGGCTCTCAATCGCGAACTTGCCATGGCATTGTTCCGTGAGGGTCGGTTGTTCCATCGTATCATCGAAGCACAAAGGCGTAATGACGAAGCATGGTCAGGATCCCCATAAGTTCTCCACCCTTATTTTTAGCTAATGCGGTTGCCCCAATAGCTCGAAACCGAAGGGTGTTAGACTTGGATTCATGGGACATCTGACATTAATATCCGAAGATGTCATTAGTGCACTGTCCCATTACCCCCGCGAACTGATGGAACGGCTGTCTCAGTATGCACCACAGCCAGAATGGGACCAGTATGTGTCTGGACGATTCCAGGAGACCAAGGAGCGAGACGCAAGCCAACTTGGCGGAGGGAAACCACTTATTCTATCGGCTCCATTGCGGCCCGGATTAGGAGCCATCGGAAATGCAAGGGCCGGGGGCCTGGCTGTAGATGAAGGGGATGGTTTGGCGCTTAGAGAGACGGGGACCTTCACTAAGGTTGGATCAACTAATGGAATTGGGTCTGCCCCAGTCCAGAATGTTGTTTTTGCCGCCAGAAATGAGGATGATGAAGACGATGATTCAGCCCCTACAGGTCGGGTGAGAGAATGCGTCTGATTCTTCAGTATGCATTTTCACTTATCTTTTTCGAAGTTCGCTCGATATTTGGTTCAACAGCTCAACTCGATGGCGAGCTCCCAACTTGAATCTTCATCATCTGATAATTCTGACGACGACGATGATGCCAACTGGCTCAGTGATTCTCCACAGGCTGGTGACTTTGACCTGTCCGCGGGCAACCAACCTTCCAACAATCGCAGAGCATTCGGCTCCAGTACCCGGCGGGTATTTGGGGCTGCTTTCCACGTAAGTAAAGCTCAGCATGGTTCACGTCACTCTTGACCCATTCAATGCGTCACAGGATTCATTTGCCGACTTTGAGACCGGCCCAAAGAAATTCTCGGAAGAGTATGTGAGTTGATTGGGCGTCCGAGCCATACGAACCTTGTTCACATGTTTGAAAGGATCAATTTGGTTCACTTGGTGACTCGCATGCGGGCAAAACGTCACTTAATTTCTCCGAGTTCACCGACAACTTCGCCTTCCCATCATCATCCACAAATCCAACCTTCGAGCTTGATAATGAGTTTGGCGGGCATTCACCATTAGAGGGTTTCTCGTTTGGGGGCCGCAATTCATTTGATGAAGATGACGACGGCTTTGGTGACTTCCAGACTGCGCCAATGTTGGAAGTGATTGCGAGCACAAGCGCAGACGGTATCACGCAGAGTTTGGATTCATCGCAGAACGACGATTTCGTGGACGAAGTTATTCATGGCCTATCGGCCGAGCACAGCATGAGGGGCGGAAAGGATCAAGAGGATGGCGAGCGGACACCGCGAGCAAGTAAACCACTTTTCGACGATTCGTTCGGCGAGAACTTCGAGGAGGTGAATTTGGATCCCGATACCTTTGGGTCGCGTCGGAAGAATTATTCCTATGTTTCCAGCGACGACCCTTTCATTCATCCTCCGATAGCAACATCGTCTGACGAGGTCCCGAAGTCACACGCAATGGCTGAGTTGGAGCGTTCGTTTGGGAGTGTTTCACTGGACAAAAATCAGCAAGGAAATTTGCTTGATGCCTTCAGTTTGCATGTTCAGCCATCCAAATTGGGATCGCCCACAAGAACGTTCCGTCTTGAGGATGGCGAAGACCCCGCTTCCCGATTCCCCCAATACTTCACATCTTCGCATTAAATCCGGTGTATGGTATGGACTCATTTATCCATTTTTCATCTGTATTTACCACACTGTTGTCACTATAATATCGTCATCTATGCAGCAACCGGGAGGCTCTGAGCAATCCGAGCGGCGAGTTGAGTTTGATGACTCACAGTCATGGTGTGAAACGGTAACCTCCAGCTCGATCAATTGCGTGAAGTTCGAGCGAAACAATATTTTCCGTGGACTGCGGTAGAGCAAGCCCGGCTGTAATCTTGTCCCCAGTACGGATAGGGCCTACTCCTGATGGCGTCCCAGTGAGAAGTAGATCACCCTCCTAGGAAGTTTAAGCCTGAATTAGACGATGCCGTTGAATGCAGAAGAAGACAGGTCCCTCAAAGGTCATGATAGATGAAACGTGCTCAATTAACCGAGGGATCTTGTATATCATGTCCTTTGTATTTCCATTTTGTCTAACATCGTCGTTCACCTTAAGGAAAGATGAGTGGAGGTGTGATGAGAGATGAAAGGGCATTGTGGAGTGTACCTTGAGCCAGAGGTTAACATTGTGCGGGTCCGAAATCGCAGATTTCGGTATAAATTCGCTACGGGGACAAAAAAAAATAGATGCAGGGGACAGGGAAAATGCCCTTGGCATTGCTAACCTGATAGGTGTAAATGTGTCGAAGCCTTTCGCGGTGGACCAGGGCAATCCCTTCTTCTTCACGTCTTCTTGAATATTCCGCGCGGTCATGTCAATAGCCAGTGCTGCGAAGGCCATTGGGCACGCCTAGCACTCAAAGGTACGTGGTCACGAACCATAGCCAGCGATGAAAGAATAGGCATCCGACTTCGATATGTCACGTCCGCCCTTGCCAATCACCACGCCAAGCTCAACTATGGGAGTCCATTTCCGCATCAGCACGTGTGAGACGCATTCCTCGCAATGCTACGTTTTATTCTTACCCTCATGGTGAACAACACATCCCTTCGGAATCTCGATGATTCCTTTGTTGGGAGTGTACGACGATGTTGGCTTCAAGAAGAAAAATGGCTCTCTAGGTGACGTATTCCCTAGCTCCTTGGCATGTTCTGCAAAGTTTCGCCCGATGGCGACAATCTTTCGACCCGTTCGAACGAAAGTCGCCATGTCCGTTCGCACAATGTCGAGTGGCAGTGCTTCACACCCGCAGCCACTCCACCAAATAGGACAGCATTTTACTAACGTATGGCCGCAAGGGAGACTGATTCAAATGTTTCTGCGTTGGTCACGCTGGGATGTTGCGCGATTGGGGAACTCAACTGTAGTTATGGTGCCCACGGGCTTGCAAGAGTGCGGGGGCCCATCTCCTGAATCCTACATAATGGGCACCTCGCGATGTCCAGCGACCATCCAGCGGCCATGCTGAAGTATTTCAAGGGTCTTCTGTTCTTAATATGATGCAGTAATCGTGCAAGCGAGACGCTTCAGAGTCCGTTCAGTCTGATAGCGGCTTGCTTGCGAAGGGTCCGACGCGGGGATCTTTGTCACCAGTCTCGAGAACTAAGGATGATCCTATCCTTGTTGACTTTCGAGATTTTCTCATCCGCTCAGCATCAGTCACAACGGTTTGAAGATGCTGCAGCCATCTTTTGACAGCGATATACTTCGACAAAGTCGCTCATTATAAGTGTAATTTTGCCACTCAGGGATTTCCGTGTTGCAAACTATGTTCATCACGAACCCAGGTACTGTCATCATTATCCCAAGCCAAGCGGCGAGGAACTCCGGGTTGCTGAACGGGAGAGCCTTCATACCTGTTCCCTGGATCAAGGGTATGTGCTGCTGTGATCCATCAATGCGCAGGCGCACCGAAGACATAGAAGCTGTGCTGCGCTAAGAGTGGGGATCAACGCGAAGAAAAGTATGGATAATGTGTTTATCCGGTGAGCCTGTGGCGTTTCAAGAGGCCAAGTAATATTCTTTATACATTGATGATTGAGATTACCAAAGAAAAAGGGACGGACGGCGGCGATGAGATTGGCATCAGGTGTTTTCCCCTACATTAGGAGGCTGGGATCTCGAGAGGCCTTCATCACAACTTTTCTAGGATCGAGGCTTCTCTAGATGGTCCCAAATGATGCAAATGCGAATGCTTCCTTGATAATATAATGTCACCCTTCAGCATCATGGGATGCCGAACTGAGAAGAAATTGGACCACCCCCTCCTACTCGTCTTAGTGTCAGCACTTCTGCGGAGATCAGTCGACAATTCGGACAAGACCGACTGGGCAGGAGCCTGCCTCAGCGCTATCTGTCTCTTCATTAGCCTACAATATATTCAAAAAAAGACCAGTCAGGATAAGTTTTTGTCGCGACGCGGGGCAGTTCAGCCATATCTCTTTTATCTCTTTCGATGTCTTAGGCCTTAATTCCGTCGCTCCCTCGGACCTTTATTCAGAACCAAGTTGCTCGCGACGCCGGGCCTTTGCCATTTAGTAACATGCGCACGTCAGTGTCAGGTTCTATCGTTGAATTTCTATGCGCGGAGCCTGATCTATCGGAAAGAACTTCCTTTCCTGGACCGGGCTAGTTCGGTGATCCTCTCATGACCGTAACCTCGCGACTATCATCGGCCTCGATCGAAACCAAGAAATTTATGGCAAAATTTGGCCAGCACACATGATAATCTGTCCGTCGACATAATCTTGATAACGGTTTTATTCTCCACGAAGCATAAATTTGTTACATATCCACAAATCAAAAGTCCGATAGATGCCAGTTAACAAGAGGAACGAACGAAGGGAAGGACCTAGGGTTAGTTCCCCCAACCCTAAGTAACCGGACTTCCACGAGTGCGTGCAGGTTCCACCAAAAAGAAGCACGTAAAGCATCCCAGACGCGACATCGATAGGATGTGGGGTAGAGAGAAAGAAAACGAACGATGTAAATGAGTGAGGTGATGATATCGGTCCGCGTTGAGTAGGACAAAACAAGGAATCACGACAAACGTATCTTATCGACAGAGCTCCCGTTCCGCGAATGCACCGTATCTGCGATCTGTCTCACGGCGGGGACAGGGGGTTGAGGGAGAGACCTAGGAATTTGGGCATGCTGATTACCCGAGGGTTGCTTCGTCAGGGTGTTACCCTTGGATTCCGGAGAAGTAATGCCAAGATCAGGGGAGGTCATCGGCGTCGAGGGCGTCATGTCGGTCGACCAACCCGAACGAGGGTTCGCTTTGGATGACCCTGATCCGGAATCGGTGTGCTGACTTTCTGAGGAATCTGGTGAAGTATTATTCGTTTCCTGAGTACCTGGTTGAGCGCTCGCATCAACTTTCGTAACATTCACCGGTGTAACCGCGGCTGGCCTTGTGACCCGCGTGCCGTCCAGCTCTGCGAGGCACAGCAAAGGGACAGCACCAACTTGCATCGCCTGCTTCTCATTTTCATCTCCGGGTTTGGAAGGGTAGAGCCTCCGAACATAGCACCAGTCATCGGCAAAAACTCGTATAAGGCGGAGCGTTTCATTGAGTGTGACTTCCATTTCATCGGGAAGTGAAGGCGGGAAGGTACCCACTACTTTGACAAGACGTGGAAGAGGGAGATCGGTCGCTCGGTCCTGCTTTGATCGGGCTTCAAAATTAGCCAGGTACTCAGCAACAGAGGGGGGCGTGGGAGGAAAAAATGGAGGGGTCTTGTCAGATTCAGCCGTACGATTCGGCTGGGATGATTGGCGGTACTGGTTCCGCGGAAGCGAGGAGTACCGAGGCGTATTAGGTACATCGTACCGGAAGTCAGGGATGCTCAGTTCCTGTCCACTCTCTGAAGAGTCGTCCTGGGTTGCGGCGAGAGGCCGTCGTGTTCGTTTCGAAAGGCTAGGGGTACCGGGACGACTTGATATTGGTCGTGTTTCGCTGCGACTTCGGCTGCGATTGCGACCATGGCGTTCATGGGAGTGCCCACGCTCATGATGTCTTCGCCGTTCGGGATCTGGGACAGGCTTGCGTTTTATAAGGTCCTGGGAGGGCTCTCTGGTCATGGCGGGGGGAGCGTCTAAAGCCTTAGAAATAGGTTTTATATGAGGAAGACTATAGTTATTGAAATCACCCAATGAAGGATTTTTGAATACAGTGGGAGGGATTCCATGTTGGTTGACGACCGTTACACTCGAAGAATTAGAAGATTGTTGCATGTGGTGTGTCTTGACGAACAGGGGGATGCTTATGGACATAGGGCTAGGTGCAACACCACTCTCTTCGAGGTTAACTTGGGTCGCCTCAGCCTTTCTGGCTTGATATTGTTGCTTTAGTGCAAGCGAGATAGGGCGCATCCGAGCAACAGGATCCATTTCCGGGGAAGTATCATCATATGGTCCCTCCTGGATACGCGGCTGGACCGGGTTGGACTGGAATGGGTTTGAAGGGAGGGAGTAGCGTGGGCTTTCCGCAATTAAAAGGACTGAATTCTTTCTTTCCTTCGCGGTGGTATCGACGGAGTTGGCTTCGGAAGCCTTGCTCTTTGGAGGCTGATTACGCCAGGCTTTAAAACGTGACAAACCATATTTATAAAAAAGAATACCTATGTTGCGCAAAGAGTAACTAATAAGCTCAATCCTGAGGGAATGGATTAATGGCTGGAGGCTTACACAACGCAATGGTGAGTACGGCACTAAGGATGGATGCTAGAATGGCGGTAGACACGGCGACGCCCTGACCAGGCTTCTGGGTAGCTCTTGGCCGAATCTTGGTTGAGGTCTCGGCTGCGGTGAAGTTCAAATTTCTTCTGGAGGCGCCGCTGCGAGGGCTGTGTCCACAGTACAGGTATGCACACACCCCAACACTCGGTTTCAATGCTTTCGATCGGTCCTCAATAAGTGCTGGATCACTGAGTGTGACAGCCCTCTCATCACTCCCCTCAGTTTTACGAGAGAGGGTAGAGGCTCCTCTATGCAGTGCCCGTGGATGGATATTACGCTTGCCTCTGGTCAAACCACGACGGTTTTGGGAGGCTGAGACCCGCCCACTGAAGCGGGCGGATAAACGGTCCACAAATTGATGGGAGCTTTCGATGATGTCAACGAGAGCGGGGGGCATCACTTCCGAAGCCACTCCAATTTCAGCACCAGGGTGGCCGTAAGCTCCTCTGAATAGCGATGGGGTTGGAAGGATCGCAAGGGAAAAGGAAGGAACAAAGGGAGGGAACGAGGGTGCAAACTTGAGTACCCGGTGTCCCTAAACGTCATTTATAAAGATCATCCAATGGACTGGCAGGGGTCTACATTTTCAGCATCCCATCATGATTCTGATACGCAATTCGGTTGCCTCTGCCGGTCGCCAATTGCAACCATCGAGGGAGCCCTGCAGACACGAGCGGGCTTATGATCCCAGACACTTGGTTCTGGGCATCTAATACGTTCCACTGCTAGCTCCTACAATTCTCGAGTGCTGAGCGTATGGGTGTGGTAATGGAGAATAAAAGTGAAATGTTCTCGGATCTGACAGGCATAGCCACAGATTCGATCATAGTTTCCCTCATCACAAGACATCACGAATGTTGTGGCGCATTCAAAAGTCAGACATGGTGGGATGCATCAGATAATGATGAGACGAATAGTTCGGGGCATGCAAAAATGAGATTATAACTACGCAACGAGAAGAGGTAATAAACAGAACCTGACGAGTCCAGGAGGGAGACGACGAACACAGCAAGGGAGGTGGAGCCGAATTGCAACGCCTAGCACGATCTATCAAAAAGGACGAGCCCAAGCTACGCAAATGGGGCACCACAAGCATTCAAGACACGAATAATCGCGCTTCATCGCAGACAGAGGAAATAGTTATACGCCAACCACAGATTCAAGCCTTATCCTTTCCAGTTTTGCAATCAAACGGTTAATTGACCTGTAAAAGCTGGACCCAGGAGCCTCAGTCAGTCAAAAAAGGATAGCCATAAGAGTGTCTAGCTTACCAGTCAGTATCTCGCTTCGCGGTCATCTCTGCGATCATATTCCCTGTGGCGGTCCCTGTCATCGCGCCTATCAAATTCCCTATCTCTGTCATCTCTTCTAAAATCATCACGATCCCTGTCACGCCTATCATAATCCCTCTCCCTGTCGTCCCGCCTTGGGGGCGGCGAGCGGCGGCGGGTATAGTCATCCCGTCTATAGGGAGGGGAACGTTCACGATCATAATACCTCCTGGGAGGAGAGCGCTCGTCATACCGACGCGGAGGCGAACGAGAGCGTCGCGGAGAACGATCACGGTAGCGGTCTTTACTATTCTACGGAGAAGGATAAACGAATCGAAGTGGGGACAGTGCGAACAACTCACATCTCCATGCTCGACACGAACGCTAACGCCACGGAGGTCCTTGCCATCGAGCTTTCTCACCGCATCATCGGCATCCTCCTGAGTGACGTATTCGAGAATCCTGTAATAGGAGCTGTACATCACTGAAGTGATGATGAACCCAAACGTAACCCACCCGCTGCCAGGATAGTCGATGTCGGCAAAAGTAATCTGACCACCGGTGTCACGACCGAAATCCTTGAGATCCTAGAAAGAGGTAGGCCAAAGTTGGGGTGAGGTTCCATCCAGGCGGGTAATCCATTCCAAGGGTAGGAACAGAGGGACGGGCCGGGTCCAAAAGGCAGCACAAAGAGGCATCCACCGCGGTTTACATGTAAAGGTGGCCGTAAAGTCCAATGCTCTTCGCACCAACGCAGGGAAGTTCGGTGAATCACCAAATCCGATCCGCGAGATCCGACAGGAGAGCCTTTGTCCATTAACTCAACCGCACAAAGTACCATCAAAATATCCGGCCCCATTCCAAGCCATAACGAAGGGCGTTCCTAAATAGACATGAAAGAGGATACTCACTTGCCAACTCGTATCCCTGGACAGGCCAGTGACAATGACACGATGGCCTGGAGGAGGTCTCCTAGCACGAGGGGGAGGGTCACGACGACGTCTGAGTTACGTTTGGCAAAGATCAACGCCAATAGTTGCCACATGTCAACAAGTACTCACTCGTCACGACGCCTGTTATCACGGGCAAACTCCACAATTATACTGTTACCCATGAATTGTGTTCCGTTGAATTTCTGCACGACGTCCTCGGCATCCTACCAAGACAGCCCACGTATTAACAATGTGTTTCGCGTAGACTATCCAACGCGCTTACTTTGGGATTCTCGAACTCAACGAAGCCAAATCCTGCAAGCGCGCATCAACAGTCAGGTCATTTGTATCCAGTATTTAACGGACCAGTCATAACCCGACATTCGGTGACGGGCCCATACCCATCAAAAAGCTTTTGGACGTCTGACTGTTGGGCATCCGTCGGGAGACCTGTGTTTTATGATGACAACGGCGCAATTCAGGCGTTGATGGTCGGGAACGTATTACGCAGGACGCAAGGAGAAAGGGAAAAACAACATACGGCCAAGGTACAGCCTACGAGACGACATTTTATGTTCTCCTGGAGTTGAGGTCGGTTTCCGCAACGATTTTCTTGTCTTTTCAGAATGTTGCAACCGTTCAAGCTTTTGTTGGAAGGCTATTGCCGCTTCGGGTGCTTCCGGCGGACTTCTAAATTTATTTGAAACTCCGAACAGGCATCCTTGAATTCACCTCCAAAACAACTGCCCGGAGCATGCATGGAAGGAATCCACAAGCAGCGAAAATGACATTTCCAATGTATGTAGTTTGGTCTCATATCAGGGGATCCTCAAAACAAACGGACTGGCCCATTCTTAATGCTGAGATTGGGACCAATCAATGGATTTTAGATCGATTCCTTCCTGGACCATCTCCCAAAGTGGGCTGTTGGGTAAAGTGTCTCAGATGAAATGTTCTAGTGGAGCAGAAAGGAAAACATGCCTCATGTCACGCAATCGATTGACAACTTCTACAATCTCAGCCACTACATAATCGATCTCCGCCTCGGTTGTAAAACGACCTATACCAAAGCGGAGAGAGGAGTGTGCCATATCCTCTGCAGCCCCGAGTGCTCGTAGGACGTATGACGGTTCAAGGGAAGCTGAGGTGCACGCGCTGCCCGAGGATAAAGCGATTTTCTGACAGAAATCCAGGCTTTAGCGCAAAACCGAGAAAAGGGGTACGCAGAAGAAATCACCTTGAGAGCCATTAGAAGACTTTCGCCCTCGACATATGCGAAACTGAGGTTAACACAACCCGGATACCCATTCGGGTCACCATTCCGTACAACATGCTCCACTTTCGACATAATCCCATTGATGAGGCGCTGGGAGAGCTTGCTTACATACGCATGATCGAACTATGGCACAACAGCAGCGTGAGTGGACAGCGGTGAAAGAAATAAGTGAAGAAGAATGGAAGGACAACAACTCAGCACCCCTGCACGGCTGGTCACTGCCAAGTCGACAGCTCGAACTTCAAACTGTCACTCGACTACCTGGAAGGACATGTTACATCCTTGTGCAGAATATAATCATGGGGCCACCAATGCAACGGAGAAGTATGGGAGAGGGAATATACGTACAACTATCTCGCGAGTCGCAATTCGACAGGCCTCCCCAAGACCCACAACCAACGGGGGAGGAAGGGTCCCGCTCCTCAGCCCTCTCTCTTGGCCACCGCCACTGATTATCGGTTCTAATCTCACTCGAGGTTTCCTTCTCACGTAAGCGGCACCAATACCCTTAGGCCCATAAATTTTATGCCCCGAAATACTCAGCAAGTCGATGTTCATCTCGTTCACATCGAGTGGTATTTTCCCAGTGGCTTGCGCAGCATCCGTGTGGAAATATACCCCCTTGTATTTTTTAATGAGTTCTCCTATCTCCTTTATGGGTTGAATAACGCCTGTTTCGTTGTTCACCGCCATAACGGAGACCAAGCTAGTGTTGCCAGGTTGAATGGCCGCCTCGAGGTGTGCCAGATCAATAACGCCATTCGATTGAACGGGGAGATATGTAATATCGAAACCCTCTTCGGATAGGTTTCGGCATGAGTCAAGCACGCATTTGTGTTCAGTTTGTGTGGTGACAATATGTCTCCGCCGTTCCTTGTTAAAGCGTGCAACGCCTTTGATGATCATATTATTTGACTCGGTGGCGCCAGAAGTGAAAACAATATCTTTCTCATCAGCACCAATGAGGTCAGCCACATGCTGTGGGTGGCGATGGTAAGCAAGTCTCAATGGAAAAGCCAGAACACTAGCCTTGCGAGCAGCGTCAACGGCAGCCTCTGCCTCCCATCCATAAGAGTGGGTCCTGCTATGGGGATTGCCATATTGCTCTGTCAAGTAGGGCAGCATTGCATCGAGCACTCGAGGGTCCATCGGTGTTGTCGCCTGCGAAAGGAACAAGCCCCATGAGCGGTTCGATAAGGTGGAGAGTACTAGTCCCTACCTGCATGTCAAGGTAGATGGGACGGTCATTCCGCCTCACTGGCTCGAGCGTGAAACCGAGCGAGCCTGCAACAGACGACCTAGTAAGCACCGCCGTCCCAAGTAACGGCTACATGAGAGATAATAGCTACCATGATTCGGGGAAACGACGTCTTCGGAAACACTCGGGAGATCAATGACAGCCGCCCTATCGAGAGTGGTAGGTTGAACGAAGCTTCTCCTTGCACGCGACGCCACAGCTGGGATTGCGGCCTTAGAGACGGCGCCGTTACGAGTGGCAGATCGAAACGCCTTGGAGAGTATCATGGCAAACAATCCCGCTTGCCTTACGGATGAGAAGATGTTGGTGTGAGGAATGGAGGGGAGGTGACTGAGGGATATCGCAAATATGATGTTACATGACGCGTCACGTGTGTATCAGGCGTGGGAAGCATCGCACAACTTTCCAGTCACTTTGCACTTTTCTCCACCACGACCAGAGTAACGCATTGTGGGCAAGCAGCGTCCATGCTGCGCATAGGACCTACATTTGCTTTCCAACCATTCTCAGCCTCGATTAGAACGAGTATCTGGGGTGGTGTCATGCGTCGTCCTCTTGCATCTGCACCCACCACGAGATTGATTGCTGTTTCAAGACATATGACAACTGCTTCTCCACCTGGCGATTCCAGCAGCGCCCCTGATAGACGGGATAACGTATTTCCAGACGAGGCATGTCTCTTGTTTGCTTCTGTTGCAACTACGGCCAAATTGACGCCATAATCTCCATGCCCCGCAAATTGAATTCTTTAAATATAAAAAATTCATCACTCTTTCTCAACTAGACTCCTGTCCTCTTTGAGTCTGCATACTCTTCCCGGACGTTCATACTCAATCAGCCAAAAACTCTCAATGCTCTTGACCAAGGGATGATCAATCTTATATCACCAAAGATTAAGGTGAAGTATCATACTCGCGCGCAGCCTCACGCCACGATTGCTTAAGTTGAACTCTATTCTGGGCTGTTATAACATCGGCTGCCACATTTCTAATGTGGTGTTGAACTGCTCTCCCTCTCCACTCAAACTCTTCTGATTTGAGAAACGTTTTTAGGAGTGGGACAATTCAAACCTGTGTAAGATGATCATCAGTAAAGGAATCGGAAGAGCGTATTGTGCCGGCGGTGAAGTTAAAAGTATGTTTTGTCTCCTTGGACATATGCAATTGCTGTCTGGAGGGCCTATCTTCTGAAACCTTCCAGAAATTTCTAATATGTTCATAACCTTTAGCCATTGTCAAGTATGCTGCAAACGAGAAAACAAGACAGAGGGCACTAGACTACTTTAAGAGCGAGTGAGCCTCATCTTCCGGCTGCATGTCCAAATCCTCAACCCTTTTATTTTGTCATCCTCTTTCCCTACCAGATTCCAACTAGACTATGATTTAGCAACACTGCAGAAGCCCTATATCTCCGTGATGGAGGGTATAACTAGTAGGTGCCACACCTTCAATCGTTAGGCCGCGCCCAGTTTACAAGACACCATTCTCGTAATCTCTGCCTATTTGCCTCGGACTCAGTGGGCGGTGGCGTCGGACTCTCAGCGTATGCTCGATTTCGCATCGCAACACCTTCAACCCTCTTCGCCATGCCTGAAACCAAGATAGGATATGCTCCCGACGTCGGAACAACATATATCCTCTCCCGTCCTCGCCTCGACGGCGAAATAGGGACTTATCTTGCTCTAACGGGAGAAACTATCAAAGGCTATGAAGTTTTCCGACTCGGCCTGGCAACTCATTACGTCGATTCTAGCATTATACCAAGTTTACTCGAACGATTGGGAGGATTGGAGGAGCCCCATGACAAGGTTATCAATGAAACTATTGAAGAGTTTAGTTTGGATGTAGACGCGGAAAGGGAGAAGGAAATGGGAGTGGATCAGCTTATGATCAGTACAGGAGCTGTTCGAGTCGCACTGGATTTAGCATTCGGGGTGAAGGATATTGAGGGTGTTTTCGATACACTGAGAAAATTTTCGAATGGTGCGTTTTCTGGAAATACGGAGGATAAGGAGAAGGTCAGTAAGTGGGCGAAGGAGACACTGGAAGTGTTGAACATGAGGAGCCCAACGAGTTTGAGGGTTGCATTTGAGGCTGTTAGGAGGGCAAGCAGAGAGGATTGGAGGCTAAGCGATTCACTGCAGATGGAATTGGGAATTGCCAACGCATTTTGCGTAAGTAACCGTTCCTGTTCCCTGCAATCCTTTCCGGATCTGATATCTATTGTATTTTTCGGCAGTCGGGCGGCTCACCTGACTTTATCACAGGCGTGACAGCCGTTCTCTTTGAAAAATCCAAATCCCGACCAAACTGGTCTCCCTCCACCCTCCCCGAAATTTCTCAGTCCCAGATTATCTCGACTTTTTTTGACCCTACCTCTCCATACGTCTCAAACGCGCCGCGTCTTCAAACTCCACGTACATCCGTCCAAATCAGCCTCTCCCATTACGCTCTGCCGACCGAAAGTGAAATCAGGGCGCTTGTTATGAGCGACAACGGCGGAGAGAATGCATTAACGAGAGAGGAGGTTGTGGAGCGGCTTGAAGTTAATAAAAGTGGGAAGAAGGGGGTCAGAGCCAAGGTGGGGGAGGTCATCGACAGACAGTGCGAAACCTTCCAAGGAGAGTACCTCAGATGGAAGACATGGCAGTAGCGAAGTGCAGTGGGGGGATGTCGACCGAATCCGAATCCGCGTTGCCGAGCATCGCGTAGTCCAAGGACCAACGTTGTTCCCAAGGTGCACAAACTTTGAGTCCTAACTCCTTATGTACTCCACGGAATGAGCCTAGAATTATTAAGTGTGCTCAACTTCATAGCTATGTGGTTCATGCATTTCATGATGCAGCCACCACCGTCACACGTGTAGGGTTTTCCTGGCAGGCAAAAATTACCGTCATCGGAGCATCCAATCCGGTGCAAACGATGGGGGTGACCCGAGTAATGATAGAGCAGAGTGAGGTGGAAAAGGCCTGGTCGTGGGTCCCTACAAGCATATAGGCAGGGCGCCCGGGGGCCGTGACACCTCTTGCCAGTATGAAGCGGCGGGCGAGGCAGCGCAGGGGGGAACAGCTGAGCTCTCCCACTGCAGGCAGACATCCCGCAAGACGATAGTAAGGCCCAGAAAAATATTGATGGTGATCATGAGCTGCCTATGTGTGGATGCGTTGCTGCTGGGGCGCTTGCTGGCTGAGCATCTATATGCCCGATAGGTGGGGATACGACACGTGCGTTCCCATGTACCGCAGATAACAAAATCATAGATTGGCAACCTCAGGAAAACCCGACGTCTTTGCAAGTTGGATTGTAGTTCACTGAGAGAGGGTCAACATGAGCCACCAGAGAAGAGACCATAGATATATAGCCCGGATAAGACTGGCATGTCGAGTTGAACAACATAAGTCTAGAAAGCACACAAGTAGTTATAGATGCGAGCCATCAGCCCCGAAGCAGTCCAAAATAGGATTCTAGCTGGAACCCTCTGTAGTCCAGACAGAATACATTCGCGCTGAGTGTGTCCTGACACAAAGCTGACAACGTCACAGATACGTTGCTGAAACTTGGGCCCCAAGCCTGGGAAGCGTCAACCAGAACTACTGCTTCTAAGTCCCCCGAAATTTCTGGCGAAGTCCAAAGCAATACAGGTGTCAGTCAGGGAGACGTGGTTCCTGCGCTGCGTGAACTATAAAAAAGTTCCGTCGGAAGACCAGAAATAGCGCAGGAAATTCGGGCTCAAAATGCAGTGAATGCACAAGCCAGGAGCCCAGCAATCTTTGGTTTCACCCAATTTCTTCCCGAGCGTTATCGAACACAAAAACCCTGAGGGAAGTGGAAGTCCCATCTACTATCCCCGTGAGCGGCTGTATTGAGGATTTCCACATGGCCGCATTGGATGGGATTGTCATTGGTCGTCAAGAATGATGATGGCAGTCAATTAGACGCTCTCACAAAGCAAGGTGTGAGAAAGAAACCCTGTATTTGTAATTCGCGCACATACAACTCCCAGCTGCGGGTCTAGTGTGCGAAGGTGCCAACGCTATTCGGCATCGGCAGTTTGCTCAGGTTCATGTCTCCGTCGGGTCCGGGTCCTTGGGTTTGGGCTGCCAAATATGTCATGTAAGAGACTAGTAGTAATGGTTGCAGGGCGGCGCACCGTACCCAGGCTTTGCAATATGGTAGGAACAGGCGTGGGATACTATTCATGTCCCATTGACCCATAACAATAGCATCCTGAGAACTGGGGGGGAAAGCATTGGGAATCATTTGACAGCCCAACTCCGCTCAGAAGCCCTCCTGGTGGAGATAAGGGCGATCCAATACAAGGCTGTATTGCACCTCAAGGAAATGTCATCCTGTGGAAATCGGCATTCCATCCACCGTTTGAGGAATGGAAAGAAGCAAAGAAGCAAGAAGCCGTTGCAGTTAACTTGTCCTTCCGGAAGCGAATGTTTGGTTTCGAACTAGAAAGTGAAACTGCGCTGCGAACGAGAATTACAGGGCAGAAACGAGCGATCTACAAAGAGTTGAATGATGAGCTGCAACATAAATTTGGGGAGATAGATGAATGAACCCCGGTTCGGCGTCCTTGCACACACAAAACCCTGACGGGAAAGGGACCCCATGTGTTTTCGTCGGACCTGGAATCGTTCATGTTGGCATTGTACCCTTCAGTTGAAAGCACAAATGCGCCAAGATTACTAATGAATGGGTTGGTGAAAAAAGCAGAGCCAGGAGTTTGACCGCAGGCATATTGGGACAGTTAAAGTGAGTTGGCCGTGTTGCGTTGCACCGTACCACCCCAAAGCAAGGTTGCCCTAAAGCTGGCGCCTGGCCGGTGAGAGAAATCATGACCCAATGGATGTAAGTGTCCTGGGACTAGCGCTCGGATTATTCGGCCAAACAGTGTCGTACAAATGTGATGGTACCCTAATCGCGAGCGAAGGACCACGCTACATAGAATCTGGAGCACTGGCAGCTCATATTTGTGGAATAACAGCGCAAGCTCAGTCCCACAATAAGGCACACCGTGTAGATGGACCCAATATCAACCAGAAGCCCTCCGCGTCCGATGAATAGTATGTTCATGTTCCCATGCTCACACCGAAGCCACAGTAGGGTAATGACTCTCAGTTGCGGTATGTGGATTTGATGGCCACGATGACATACTACGTATGCAAGTAAGGCAACGTACGGGTTAACTTACAGGAATCGATGTTCGATGTTGGATGAGCCACATCGCTTAGTCCTACTGGCCTGAGGTCAGATGTGTTGCGCAAGTAATCACCTACAACAGCCGAAGCAATTCAAGCCTACTTTGGCACGGTGTCTGCTGGCGAAAAGCAAAAATGCAGAGCGGCTGAGCGGCACGGCTTGGATTCGGCAGGACCTTGAGATAAGGCACAGAGCTGAGCAGCGACGCATCCGGCCTGATGAACTAAGGCCAGTATGACCGCTTTCGGCGACCATTTGCTGCCTAGCTCTATTCAATGGCCGATCCCATTTCAAATTACCGTTCTTGAAAACTGACCCAAGGAATGATCAGCCTTGCCAGCACTAGAACTCCTCTGGTTTCTCCCGAAATGTAATCTTTTAGACTGCGTGGGAGTGGCGTCATTCCTTCTAATAGCTTGAAACCCGCATTACTTACTAGCTCTCGCCTGAAACTGTTCTCATCGACTCAACGACCGAAGGTGCCATCTATATATCCCACTTAACAAGAATGCAATTAAACAACGGTCGTGTAGAAGGATAATTGTAAGATCCGAATACTTTATCAATGTCCTACTAGTATCCCGATAGATCCTTATGGTGACATCCTACACCTGGGCAAGAGGATACGGGCGCAGCCAAAGTGAAGGTAAGACTCGCATGCGCTACTTTGGATATCTATTCCTGTTGAAATTCTAGTAAATCGATCTATTGGTGTGCGTACAGCCTGCTCGTGAACCCAGACCTGGACGAAAAATTGGCCGCCCAAGGGTCAAAAGACTCACTTGACCTATGGGGAAGAAAGGGACGACGTACGACCAAGCCACTTTTATTATGAGGGTTCCAACTACTTGGCAGAGCCTTCATCGCCTTTGGCGCATGGGCAGTGAAGCTTATAGGTACAGGGAACGGGTGCCATCAATATCCTGCAGATAAAAGAACACTACGCATACTTTCTTTGTGGATCGAGTTACATGCCATTCACTTCGATCGATTGTCCAGTTTGGAACTTAACGTGTCCCATATTTGTTTTCACCGCAAAAGCCTCTCCCAGGTGGACCTTACGTAACCCTCTTTATGAAAAAATTTTTTCGTGGTAAACATGGTGCGTTTTTCACCTTTCTGGCTTGCATTTCCGCGTGTGACCACTTGGATTCCCACGGACAAAAAATGATGCTTCGCGAGCTCAGGATTCTGTGAGGATATGGGACTTTTGCGTTATTCACGCGCGTAGAACCAAAATTCGCCAAGCAAGGATCTCTCACTTTTCCTCGGAAATAGCCAGGAACTGTCGTCGCCGAGAATTTGGGGCGGGTCATTTAATTTATGTATAGTTGCTCGTGTAATTCAATGGCCTTTGTACCTTTCAACAATCATTGTACAAACACGAATTATTTTAATGAGTCTTTTATTGCTTGTCCTCTCGTTTTTCAACTAGATACTCCTCACGCCATCGTTTCCTATCTCATCCGAAACCCCCGCCGCACTGTCAACGACGTTGTCATTAACAGCGTTCCCGCTCATTATGTTACTCCTCACTGCCTTCTCAATGCTTCTTTTAACGTTTAATGCATTGGCATTCCTCACAAATGGTCCTTTGCACACGCGAACAAAAGTGCGCCATCCTTTCTCCAATTGGTTTTGTCATTTCCGGCCCAAACACCATCGTTGCCCGAAGAGATCGTTCGACGTGACAAAGGGCGTTTACACACCTCTCGGCTTTGCTAATGGAACCGTTTCCAATGGGGTGGCGCGTTTTGCGGTCCGTTATGCTTCGGCTGCCCGTTGGCAGGCTGCGACTCTAGCGAATGCTTGGAGGATGCCGTAAGTGTTCAAGCATCTGCGTTTGCGGCGAGACTTATACATAAGAACAGTGACGGTGACCCCGCCTCACCGCCTCCGTCGTGCCCTCAGTCTTCCGTTGACTCAAGCCAATACTCTGAGGATTGCCTCTTCCTCATTCTCTACGTTCCTGTTGCTGCCGCTGCATCGGGCAATGGGCTGAACACATTCGCTTGGTGGGTATCACGATCGTCAGTGTTGGTGGTGGGTCTTTTGTTGACCAATAGCATCACACAGGATCCATGGCGGCTCCTTTTATTATGGAGCCGCGACTAACCCCGGTCTGGACGGTTCTACCTTTGCATTATCCACAGGATCCATTGTTGTAACCCTTCAGTATCGTCTTGGAGTGCTCGGTTTCATCCCTCCACATTCACAAAACGGTGGTATAAACCTTGGTGTCAAAGACGTCACAACTGCCTTAAGCTTCTTGAGATCGGTGCTTCCCAGCTTCCATGGCAATCCTGACGGTATCACTGTCGCTGGGCAAAGTAGTGGAGGAATGATGGTTCGAGGCAAGTCGTCGTTTATCGTCGTTGGTTTGATCCATATAACATTTAACCCCCCCCATAGCGCTGATGGCTGCACCTACTGCGGCCAAATTGTTCAAGAATGGCATCATTCAGAGCGATCCTATGGACTTCAACTTCCTGCCTATATCTGCTTACAACATCCTCCAATCATGGTTCTACTCCAAGCTTCCCTGCTCTCCCGCAACATGTCCAACTTCACAGCTCCTTTCTACCCAGAGCTACTTGCTCGGTAATGCGTCAACTATTTCCCCGGCTGCGGGGTCTGCTGAGCCCATACGCCCAAGCGTTGATGGACAGTTCATCACGACATCGCTGAGCCGGAACTCATATCCCTCCCTTCTCAAGCCTCTTCTCGTCACCACTGTTATGGATGAGGCGGGCTTCCTTATTGGTGAAACTCTACCGCTCGGATTCCCTGAGCAGAACTATGTGCCTATTGTACAAGCAACGTTTGGAAATCGAACGGCGACAATTCTGGCTTCGCCTTGGTATAATGTTTCTTCGATGAAGGTCGTGCCTGGTCAGCCGGACGATCGGACGAGAGAAACTCTTTCGGTATTAGGATCGGATGCTACGTGGAGATGTCCCAGCTGGTCATTTGCGAGATCCTATGCCGCAAGGGGTGGAAATGTCTATGTCGGTTTGTTCAGGCGTGGAGCAACTTATGCCGGAAATGATGCTTCGGATTTCTGCACGGTGGGTGGGAGAGTGTGCCATCAGGACGATATTTATATCACGGTCAGTTTGCTTCGATCCACTCACCGCGTGACATACAGTTTTTTCTTATTCACTCATTCCTTTAGTTTGGCACCACACCTTCGCCTACACCTGACCAGCAGACCCTCACAGCTGAGATCCAAGCTCGCTGGGGGGCCTTCGTGAAGACATCAAATCCCAACCCTTCTAACGCCAATCTAGGCGAATGGTGCGCGACAACTTCTACTGCAGTCAAGGCGATACAATTTGGCCTTGGCGGTGGCATAGCCGCAGAGGATGCCTGCAGGCGTTCCTTCTGGGGGAATGCTGTGCTCTTTGACTGGCAAATTTATGGCGTCTAGACTCTTGCAGGCATTGCGAATACCCCCCATCTCGTGTTAAACCAACAGTTTTATCTAAGTGCCATTCGCCAGGCAATTTCGAATTTCGTTTTCCACTTCAGCTTTACCAGATACCTTGCATTATTCGTCGAATCTGATGTCATCCACCCTGCGCTATCACCCCTTTCATGTCCATACACCACCTCTTGCCACCCCTGCGCCTTGATCGTACTGTGCCACCGTCTCCCCTCGCAACGAGCACGTCAAGCACACAATATTTCAACCCCTTTGTCCACGTCGCCTCCTTGCCTGTCGCCGTACCGCCTTTGTGGCCGACTACTGGCACAATCACAACGAGATCCTTTTTCCCTTCCTTTTAACAATCTGTTCTGTTCATTGCCTCGGTGCTGCATTGCAGTGTAATGCAACATTCGTTTGTGTATGTTTATTGTCAGGCCTTGCATTATGACTTCCCCTGTATACACAACCTTTCTTCATTTTATGGCTGCGTTGCTTGTTTTGTTTAGGGATGTGGCCTTGGTCCGATGCCATTGCATTGTTTCTACATTTCATATCTACTGCGTGCTCATCACACGAACAACGCGTGATAGCTTTATTGGTTTGTGAATGACTGTGTATGTATTGCAGAACTACATGGGGGTGTTGTACAAAGCCGCTCCGAAGATGAGATTCGATTCCGAATGCCTGAGAGCTTGGGCGCCTGAAGCAGAAGCATTGCAGTCATGCTACCGGCACGATTTAACGGAACTGTCCAACGAGGGGATGGCTTTTACATGCCGTAGCTGTAATGTAGCGGGGGTTGGCCGGACCTATTGTGTCCCTAAATTGACACGTATTACACGACATCCTTGGAGTAATATTTGGGCGCCGATGCTGCTGGTCAGTCAATTTCACAGTACCACGCGGCGCCTATCAAGCAACGGGGCTGGGGCATGTCAGCCTCTACTAGATAGTGCAGCGTCATCTCGCTAAGACTTCGGCCTGCAGACGTTCTCGCAAGAAGCATTGATCCTTGGCCTCGCACCACTTGGGGTTTGGAAGCTTTTGAAGCAAATCAATCAGCTTTAGTGAATATTGGATTATCCATGCTGCCCCGTCGCGCCCCGGAGAAGACAATATCCAAGCCTCCAATAAGAGACAACCCCTCCCACTTTTTGCGGAGACCAGAGGATATCTGAGGGCCAAAAACGGATTGAAAAATGACAGGAGGCTGCCCATTCCGGGATGAGTTTGCACGTCAGTTTATAAATGACCACAGTGGGCGTGGATGGTCCTGAGGCGAAGAGATGAGAGTGAACCTGTTACCAGGCGTGTTGCCTGAATACGACGTCCACGATATGAGAGCCACTAAGAACGGGATTTCGGGTGCTTGGTGCCATCATTGCTACCAATGATGGCGATCGCTAATGGCGCCTTCCACAGTTTCTGATTTCCTGCCTATTCGAGTTGACAACTGTTTGTGTCGAAGCCGGATCCAGTTGATTCACACCATAAGTAACGTGCCCGACACCGCGTCAGGAGGAGGAACCAGACACCAAAAAAAGTTGATGCAAAATTCCACACCAAAAGGACGAGCAGGTGAAAGAAATAATCACTCTCTCCTCGTTGATGGGAATAATAAATCAATCTTTCGTTATTATCAAGGTGTTCCTGCGACGGCTCAACACTATGCCACTCCTTCTGTCACTTCTTCTCCTTCCAATGCTGGCCCTTCCACGCCTAAGAATGCCCCACGACGCAGCACACGCGTCATACAACAGCCAGAACGCGGTACACCTAAACCTATCACTCATGCTCAAATAACCGCTACCCAACGAGGCCCTCATCCACATGGTACTGGCACGGGCATGCCAGGTTCAGCATCTTCAGGCCCTAACGCTTCATTAAACCCCGTCCCCACACATCCCCAAGCATTTCAAAGCACTTATATCTCACGATTAAGAACGGGTTCAACGTTGTTATTACAACCCAGCAATATAACACCTTCATCTTCTTCGGTGAATGCTTCTTCGTTGTTGACGACAAGTGGGAGGAGAAGAGGTGTGATTAACTATGCGGAAGGCGATGATGATGATGATAATTTTGGGATGGAGAGTGATGATGATGAGGAGTTTACGGCTATTGGGGAGAGAGGTGGGAAGAGGAGAGGTGGGAGTGGGACGGGTGGGAGGAGTGGCAGTGTGCCTGGGAGCGCAGGTGGTGCTGGGGGAGGTGGGGGAAGTGGTAGTCGAGTCGGTTCTCCGGGTGCCAGTGTCAATGGCCCTGTGAGGGCTGAGCTGGACAAGAGTTATTTGGGGATGATACCTCCTAGTAGGTTTGTCTCGAGTAAGTGGGTCAGCAAGACGAGGCATGAATATCCGTAAGTCGTATCTTCTTTCAGTGCTCGCTGCGCCATGGCTGATGTCTTGGTTTAGCCCACTTGATCAAGTCGAGAAAGCCGCCCAGGCGCGTGAGATCCTGATCCCAATTCGTATCGACCTTGACACGGAGACCCACCGGATTCGTGACAGCTTCATGTGGAATCTCAACGGTTCGTGGGTCTGGATATTCTCATCTGGACACTAAAATTTATCATTTTATTTTATTTCGCTTTTCACTCCTATCGTTGTTCTTTTTACAGAGGGAATCCTAACCCCCGAGATGTTTGCTCGTATTTTCTGCCAAGACCTCGAACTACCAACGATTCCGTTTGTGGATCAAGTGGCAGGTGCTATACGAGCTCAGCTGGAAGAGCATGCCGGCGTTGCGAGTTTCGATATTGAGATATCTGACTCGGAGTCTGAATCTGAGTCAAGTGTAGAAGGGGGAGTGGTGCAGGACAAGGATGATCAGGAGGTGCAGGAAGGATCGAAGAAAGAGGATGAAGGGTCTGCCAGGAACACGTTTGGGGGGGGTGAAATGGGGGTGGATAGGTTTACGATGATGGTCGGTACGGAGACGAATGCGAATGCGAATACCCCCAAGGTAGTTCTATCTGAACAACCTTCGAGGAGAGTTTCCAAGTCTCCATCGCGATCGCATTCCCCTCTTCCATCTCTTCCTCCTTCAGTACCTGCACAAGAGCCGGCAACGGTGATGAATGCAGGTGGGTCTAAACTCGTTACGAGAGCTCCTACCTCAAGAGAACAGATGGATTGCAGAGTCATCCTTGCGCTAGATGTTCAGCTCTCGACGTTCCATTTAATGGACCATATAGAGTGGGACCTATCTCCTCTCCCCTCCTCCCCCTCCCCATCATACCCTCTCCCATCCTCCTTTCCTCCACAATCCCCAAACCCACCCCACGTTACACCCGAACTTTTTGCGAAGACTTTAGCCGCGGACTTAGGACTTGGCGGAGAAGCAGTTCCGCTCATTGCCCATGCGATACACGAGGAAATATTAAAGCACAAGAAGGATGCGATCGAGTGGGGGGTGTTGGTTCCTGGCTCAGGTGGGTGGAATGAGGGGCGAGGCGGGGGAGGCGGGGGAGGCACGGGGGACGGGGGGAAGAGTGGTGCGGGGGATGGAAGGGGTGGGGAGGGGAGGAGTGTGGGTGGTGGTGGAAGTGGGGGAGGGAGAGGACAGAGAGGACCGAAGCCCTTGAGGGGGATATGGAGGGAGTGGAGTGAGGTGGGTGAGTTTGGGCCTAGGTTGGAGGTAATTAGTCAGGAGGAAATGGAGAGGAGGGAGGTCGAGAGGGAGAGGATTGCTAGGTGGGTTTCAGAGAACGTCTCCTTTCTTTTGCTGTCCTATTGTTTGTAAGGCATTATATGCTGATTTTTTGTGTTAGACGCTTACGAAGGGAGACGGCGAGGTTTGTTAAGAGCGCGAGTGGACGGCGGAGGCGATAAAGGTGCGTTGGCAGTACTAGGGTGGGCTGCTGGTGTGTGTGGTAGTGTATATTCCGACGTGTGTGCTGTAGACTGGAGCCGTTTATTGAATCTGTCTTCAAGCCTGCGGCGTTCGTATCACAAATGGTTCTACGCTAGACGTTCAAACCCTCATTGTTCCCAGAACTTCCTTTGACCGACGGTTTCTTTTCCGAAGTACATTACGCAGCCCCCGCTCTTCACTTGGTTAGCTTCAAGAGCTCGATGAAGGCATTGAACCTCAGTTGGTTCGCCCCAGCTTTATGACAGCGTCGTGGCTTCGAAACAGGAGAAACCTTGGCCTCGGACCCCTCGATCACCCATTCATGCAGCCAAGTCAGCGATCCAATCTCTGACTCGGTGTTTCTACCACCTAAGTTGCCTGGGGTATGTCAACCCCCACCTAACCCAATGATATATCTGATAGGGCCTTGCTCGGGTTAAATAACGTACGGCTCATCCTGATACGTCCAAAGCCCGTACCGCTGGTTCAATGCGGATTGTACGCGTAATGCTGTGGTTATTCTGATCCCGTCAGCAGATCCTTGACTAGCCAGTCATTAGATTCGAAGAACCTTAGGTTCAAACTAAAGTGTTATCTGATGTGGGGGCCGGGGGAAGAGTGGGAGCGAGTCCATCTCGTGTCGGTGGTGCTACGGTGTGAATTCATCTATGCTGGGTTGCACTGGACCAGGCAGTATTTTGTGAGAGAATGGTGCGAATTTTCCTAGACAATCATGCGTAAGGCCTATTGTCAACACCAAGTCAAGCATCCATACCTGGAAGCCGACGACTCTGCTCCCTGCACATACCATAATCCCATGAAAATTCCTACGAACAGTGACCAACAGGAATAATACCATTTCATACCCTAGCAGACCACTTCTGGGATGATCCCGTGGTCCAGAGGCTGCTCCAGTAGCTGGCTTTGGCTCTAAGAGACTTTCCCGGCGCATGAGTGGACGACGCGAACATCGCCTACACGTGGCAGTTGCTTGCGTTCATTTTCCTGCGCTGCCTCTTATGCCTCGGGAATATCTGTTTGTTCATGTTCCCCTTCTTTCTCGACGCACACACCGTATCATCAGGGGGTGTCTAGCACGCGGCGTCCGGATGGGCGCTGAGCGCCTCTGGCCCCCTACGCGGCATTGCTTCCGTCACTCACAGGGAGGTAATCTACAGCACCGCCGTCCCCAGTGGGCTACCCGATTAACCCCTTCATCCGGGACTTCGGTCTTCAAATTTAGGTCATTGCGACTCGAAGGATGGAGCGGTCTCGCGGACACCGGCAACTGCAGGAAGAGACGGTAAAGGGTGAATGGATGAGCTGGCAAGATGGGAGATACACTAGTGCGGTCATGTACTGATTGTGTATAGTATAACCCATTGTACGCTACGCCATATGCCAAAAGGCATAGATACGAAGTTAAAATTGATACACACACACACACATGCATACACTAGCTAGCAGGCCGGTTGAAGAGCATAAGGATGGAGTAAAGGGCAAAAACGAATTGTCCAAAAGTAGCAATCACCCCCGGCTGCCCGAGGATCCTATTCACCTGAATACACCACCCAGACACATGTCGACGTGGCCGGGCCACACAAAGCTCATGTTGTTCGCCTTTGCAGTTTCCCCTTTTGTCTTGCAGTGCCGTCTGTGGCCGCGCGAAGCCGCTCGTTAATGTATATGGGCACGAGGGGACGGCCTGAAGCACGATATCTAACGAACAGTGATATCGCGCTCAGATCTTGGTCGTGCAACAACACACTCATCATGTATGGATCCCCTTGGCCCCACTGCCACGTCAGGGTAACAAATAGAGTACAACAACAACCCCGGTGTCGCCAAGTTATTGCACTCCCCCCTTTCTCCCTTGATTTAATGGAAGTACGGCATTCAAACAAAGCTTGTGCGCTGTGGAGCCCGAGTTCGCATATTTAGCCTGTCCCTTTCTCATTTCCATTCATTTATATCTGGCTTCCGCCACACGCACCCGCCCTTACACTGCGTTCGCTGTACCCACCAATCCGCACGCCAACAGGCCGCGTTCATGTACACGTAAATCGCTATGCCCAAATGACGCATACTCGTCGTCTGCGTATGGCAGTTTGCTAGGTCTACTAGTAGCGTTCCGCTTGAACCGCTCGGAGACTATCTACACGGCGCCACTACATCGGTGAGAGACTTCACTGCCTGCATACGTTGCATGAGACTGGGGGCACTCTTTTGACTCATATATACAATGCACCTCAAGTGGTATAATCAAGCCCCACCACGAATCTGAGAACGCGCGTACTGCGACTTCCGACAATGGCAGCACAAAGCAGGGATTGTGTGACGAGCCGCCTGAGGAACAAAGCCCTGCATGGCTACATCTGACATGATTTAATCACGATATTGCATTCTCAGTCGACCAACGAAAAAAGAGTTACACAGTACAGATAGGGAACTTCGGACTACGTGAAAACGCAAAAAAAAAGAACCATTCCTCAGTCAGAAGCGCAGTCCAAAGTGAGAGTCCATGAACGGATAGGTCGGCACCAATTCCAACTCAACTCGACTAGATCGCTTCGTACGTCGATCCATCGACTCGGAATGCCACGTACATTCTTAGTGGCGGCAACCTTCAACGGATGAGCCATTGTGAGAAATAAGAATGCTTCAAGGGGTACACGTAGCCACGTACATGCTTTCCCGCCTTTGCAGCACTTGTATCCAGGGCCGCAATAATGTTTATCGCCGCATGGGTTGCAACCTTTCGGAATGCATCTGTGGGTAATTGAGTAAGAGAGACCTAGCTTCAATGGTACGGTCGAACGAACCCGTATCCGTGGCACTGTGGTAGCAACGTTAGCAGAGTGATACCAAAATATGTCGGAATACGTGAACGTACTAAATATCCAGGCGGGCAGCAGGTCCCCTTCTCTTTGTTGCAGCATTCTTGTCCTTTGTAGCAGAAGTGGTATGGACCACACGGGTACGTGTTAACGGGGATGCAACTACGAAACGCGAATAAGGGTCAAGCTAAGAGGGAGCGCTAACTTCTACAGACTATTTGCCCTTGTAGCACTACCCTAAAGTCAGGGATCATCAGAGTTTTCCCATATGAAATGGGACTTACACGATAGCCAGGTTTGCAGTAACCATGTCCGCAATGATCGCATCCGTTGGGGAAACAACTAACATAACACCAATGAATATCCAGCCTACGTCTTCATGACCTGTAATACTCACTAGCCCTTCCAGCACTAGCATGCAAAGTCTGTTAGTTGGATGTTTTGCATAGCAGAACGAACCATGAACCCACGTAAGTATCCTTCGGGCAACACTTATGATCCGAGCATTTGTCTGAATGGAGCAAAAAAAAAATAAGCGACTGGTTTGGGAAGCAGTTGTCCGAGCAAGCAACTGACGATAGTCATGTGGACATCTATGTCCGTGTCCATAATCCCTTGCAAGGTCTCGGGTTTCCCCCGTACCGGTGATAGGTGGTTCGGGAGAAAGAATAGTAGGGTCGGCGAGCGGGTTATAGGGTCCAGTGGCTGGAGTCGTGTCGTTTCGGCGTTCAACCTCAACGGGCAAGGGTGCGACTGGGTTAGCGAAGCCTTGTGCAACGAACAAGGCAACGATGAAGGCGGGGAAGATCAACCTAAACATCTTCAACATCATTTTTACTACGCTGGTACGCTGCTGGCACAAGGTAGATGAAAGGAGGGGAGTTTTGCTGCCCCTCCCAACGCACCCACAGGCTCACTTAAGTACGTTGTGCAGCGTGTATGATGAAATTCTCATTGCAAATATAAAGCTGGGGTGAGGGAGTTTTGCTGGTCACCGACCACCATACAGACTGGTGGGACCAATGGCAAGAAACAGGTGAAATGAGGCACCTGTGCGGTAGGCTACATTTGGAGGCCGTTATTGGTCGAGGACGTAATCGCTTATTCATGTAGGACAGACTGATATCGGTTTCGAGGCGATCAGCACATACTAGAGCAGAATAAGCAGAAGTCCAGAGAGCTATGAAAACCATTACAAAGACCCCACAAGTCCAAGTCCACTAGTCAGGTAAGGCGATGCATCCGTTTTCGTCCCGTCAGTTTGGCTGGGTTTGCTGTCAAACCCTCATTTGGCAATATCGCCTGCCCGGGCCCAGGTCGACATTAGTACGCCTGACAGGCGAAACGAAGAACACCATGGCTGGGTATACAAGCGGGAGGAAAGAGAAGAGATTCATCTCAAATATAGACAACAACCAACCTGGGGTTGGGCGTCAGTTGATCAAATCAAATGCGTCATGCAAGTTATCACGTTGCACAGCCTCGGCTTCGTGACCTTGCAGATCTGGAACACTCTGAATGGGTCCCATGATACACTCTTGGAGGCTTGGCATTCTCGCGCGTGTTCCTTGAGGCACATTGAATTAAGCCTTGCAGCACCGCCTAATATCGTGACATACGCTTACCACACCCCTGCTTTTGTTTGAAGAGTGCGGATTTCATAGAACAGTGGTCAGTGGGGAAATTGTTAACGTGGGGCGTTTTGAAATATAAGGCTATGTCGTGGGGCATCAGTAGGTTGCCCATTTTTTGAAATGATTCGCCCATGCACCATGAGCCCAGTGTACATGGAGTTGGCCGGATTTATTGTGTCTTATAGTAAAAGATGCACAGAGAGAAGAAGGACTGTGCGTAGATTGCTGTAGGGGTTGGGAGGGCGTGCGGGAGGAACGGTTAAGGTGGCGGAAGAGCTGACTACGCGAGGGGGCGGACGTAATCGAAATGGTGTCATGGTTTACGTCTTACATAAAGATTTGTAGGATCCGAGAGTGTGTCACTATGAGAGACAAGATGCTTTGAGCGGTTCCTGTAACCCAGCTATTTGGGATTCAGCATCTTGCCCAAGAGTCGCAATAATGGTTAGGACTACAAGGGCTTGGAATACATCTACGGATCATTGAGAGCCCCAACGTCCATAACATCTATAGCGGGCGGGAGACCCATAATCGGCGAGGCGACTTGGAAGTACGCCGTGGATGTGCGTAGTGACCAAGCCGGTTGCATGCTCTAGTACTGCTTTGTCCAATTTTGCAGTAATGGGACGGTCCTCACGAGAACTCACGCTAGTCGCGCGCTACTGAACGCTCTCGTAACATTACTGAAAGCTGCCCGCATGGAGTGTTGCTCACATAAGAGTCAGATGGGGATGTCTTGATGGGGAATACAGCCGAGATATCACCGATGAATATCCAGTCTTCTCACCAGGACGCACGGTGGTGCTAAAAAACGATTAATTGGATGGTCTATGTAATGAAGTGAAACTGTAGGTGCGAAGTGGATGGCAAATACCATTTGGGAACGAGTTGGAAGAAGCTAAGCCACTTAGCTCAGGAACAATGACCTCAAGTTATTCATCAATGTCTCCTAGACACGCCGCCGCCTCGAGGGCTTCAAAGTTAAGGGTAGGTTTTCTTGGGGAGGGGGAGGCAGATGGAAAAGTACAGAAGGATCGATGAGGGGGCGCAAAAGCTGAACTTGGACTCGAGCGTCTAGGGATGCGCGAAGGCGCCATGAACGACTGGGTTGACAAAGTTCTCTAATGGTGGATGCGGAAACAACCAGCGCAACATCTCCAACGCCGATTCCAAGTAGTTACGCTACCCGCACGAGGTAGGCGGTGAGGGACGGGCACCCTCTCCCCCAGGCCCTCTCAACACACCCACAGGCTCGCTTCGCCGGATCTGGTATCTGGTGCCAGATCGCATTTCGTTAGGTGGAAATCAGGGGCGGGGGGTTCCTGAAGAAGGGTTTGGCTGCGGGGAGAAGCGGATGACAATAACATAAAGACACCTAGCGATCGGTGCTGCCACAACGTGCTACGTCGTACAGGCGCAGCAGGCGATTGTTCCTTGGGAAACGGTTTATCCACACAAGACTGGCGTCACACTCGAAGACCATGTGCATCGAGCAAAAAAATGATGTATATTCGTCAACCGTCCGGTAATAAATTGCACACGGCTCCAGGCATAAAGGGGAGGGGTGAATTTGTCGCTTGCACCCCAGGGAAAAGACCGAATGGCAAGTGAGACAAAAGCGGTGCCTCTTATCAGGTGGGGAAGAACGAAAGAGATCAAATAATGCTGCTTCGAGGTCGGCTGTGTCAGTCTAGACACGTTCATCGGTTGGTCGTACGTATTAGCCAAGCCTCTAATTAGACAATTGGACATGGCTCTGGCTTCCTTTTCCCATCAATTGAAACCATCAATATAGGCTTCAGAGGTCCCAGCTCTCCGGCGACTGTAGCGTAAGTCAGGAACATGAGTCCTGTAACTACAGTTCCGCTTTCGTATGGGTTGAACTACCATAAGCTACGGCGGCATCGAAATGAAAGCCAAGGGTGACACCCTAAGCCATGAATTGTAAGGCAGTCGGCAGTTCACCTTGATGTGCTGGTTCGAGCACATACTAGTACGCAGTCACAGAGTCTCCCTAGGTTCAGGCCCTTGACAGCTCTTGGTACGTTCGGTGACTTGCCGATTCTGTGAATGACACGCACTTTTCCGGCAGACTCCGCCATGACGGCCCGGGAACTGGGATTCCCCGATGGCATTTGCACGATCATCGGCCAGATTATGGTTTTCCCTTTTTGGACGAACCCGCGATGATGGGGTCCCACCATCATCCACCCATGCGCGCGGTCGCATCCTCAGGGCAGGTTACCAGCCTCTATTGGAATAGATCTCGTTTCTCTGTCCACTTTGGATGCACACTTCTTTCACAACGTTGACCTGCTGAAAAACGCGTGCATGGTACCGGTGACAACATTAGATCTGTTGGAAGTGCATATGAGCGGACAGCGGACATGCATGGTGTGAATTCAAGTAACTGATGCAAAGATGCGAGTTGAGGAACGATCGATCCCGCAGGGCATCAATGATCAGTGGGGGTGAGAACACTACTACGGCGTCATGATTCACGCGTGGTATTGATTTTTCGCATTGGACCGGGATAGATCGAGTCCAGCGGCGCATAGAATAGCGGAAACAAGGACTTCCCTAACGCACTACACAAGCGCGCACCCAAACACACAATGCCAGTCTTGTCAAACAAAGGGTAAGCAGTTCTTCCATTCCAAAGACCAAGAATGAGATTGCAGTCCTAAGCAGAAGGGAAAATCATGCCGAGAAGAAAGGGCAGCCAAACACTCTCAAAGCGCTAACGGCAACACATTATCCAAATCCATACCATACCATACCATACGGACCTTCGAAACTGCACCCTCCCTAGCCACATCGCCAAAAGAAAGGTTTTATTATTCTCCATTCCAACCCAACGTCGCATTCGCACTATCGTTCTCGTATTCCCCATCCCGACGCTGCAACATCATCCCGCTCCCGCTCCTGCTCCCGTTCCAACTCTGTTTCGCCTTCAAATACGACCTCACACCCACGAAACAGCCCAATACCCAAACACCAAGGATCACCCCGACCCAAACGCCCCACACATCGTTCACGCTTCCCGGCGTGTCCAGTCCAGTCCACAAAGGGTACATATCCCTATATCCAGTTCGAACTTGGTAAATCGATAGACAAAGAATCGTAAGACCTATGATGACATGGAAGATGTTTTGTGGTGGGTGTGTTGCGAGTGGGTGAGGGGGTTGTGACTGTGGTGTAGATGCAAGTTTCGATGATGAAGAGAGGAAAGGGTTGAGTGATGGGAGTTTTATGTAATGGATGAAGAAACCGAGCGAAAATTGGACGAGATAGAGGACGAACAATGCGATTCCTATTCTCTGTATCATCGTTGTTGTTTGGATAAAAAAGGGAAGCCATCAGTTATAGGCTTGACACTCTCAAATGAACGAACCGAAAGAGATCGCGAATGCGAATGAAAGGGCCAATATGAAAAGAGAAGAAATCACTCACTCCGTGCCTTACGTTGCGATAATCGTATCCGTCATATGCGTCGTGATTGTAGTTGACACCGATGGCAAAACCCGAAATGATAAGAAGGGCTGCGAAGGTTTGAATGACGAGGTGAACTCTGAGCCAGTATGATGGGTTGAGAGAGCGGTATCGGGCAATGAGGATGCCTGGTGATGCGTGGGAGATCGAAGTTCATTAGCCGTCGGTAAGGTGTTGATCGTTTCGTTGTCGTGAAGGTGAACGAATGGCGTACATGTATGCGGGGGAACAAAGCAAGTTAGGACGAGAGGCCTTGGAAACTCCCGTTGCGAAGGCGAGTTGCACTCATTCCACCCACTCACCGATGGGTAAGAAAAAGAGAAAACCAAGGGACGAAAGTGTCCGTGGGCTATCAATTTCGAACGCGGAGGGAAAAAGACCTCTCTGAATGGGTCATCCTCCCGTTTGGTGATTTCGGCCTGGTGAGAGGAATTGTAGGTTAGGTTGGATGGATACCGGGAATAGGTTGATGGAATAGGACGGAATGAGAAGTGAAACAACGCAACTGCTTGAACGAGGAGAGCCGCCTGAGAGAGGCAGAGGAGAAAGAGAGGGAAGGATAGGTTTCGAGGACGCATAGCACTGAAGGATGATGGTAGATTGGGGGGACGTAGGGCTGCAGTGAAAGAGAGTAAAGAGGAGACTGAGAGGTCAGGATAACTGAGGGACTGCGGTTACTATCAACAAGTCACGTTGTTTATGTAAAACGCCCGATTGTATTAGAGCCGAAAGTGTCCAGACCGGTTTCCGGAGTGAGACTGTACAACAAAGGCGGAGTTGGCACCGGAAGTGAGTTGCAACTCGGGTTGGGAGTAGGACTCGTGTTCGGCCAGTGTCGACGTTCACCGTCGCCGGCCTTGAAAGTTTCTTGTGCACATTCACTGCAGGTATCATCACCAATGGACCAAGGGTCCAACTTCGACTGTTGCGATCGCGATCACAACAGGATTCCGTGTTTCATTCTCGGCATTTCCCATTATCGCGGGGTTCTCCGTTTCCTTCATTTCTTCCAATCAAGCGCTCTCCTTTGGCATATTAGCTCGAGTCTAAGATGCTCTTACCAAAGTCAAAAACGCCTGCGCTCGCTCCTCAGTGATTCCGCAGTCTCCTCAGGTATTCAATTTTAACTTTATCTGTCAATGATTCGAGAAATGATCCAATATTTGTAAATGGAGAATAGATTTAACCGACTAAATATGCATATCGATCGAAAGCCGTGTTGCCGACGCCGTCGGGATCATGCATTAATTGAATGCTGCGTTCTCACATGATTGATGTCAACCCACTAATGTTCTTCCATCAACCATCAATCTCTGTCTGCAAGCGCCACCCAAAATGGCTGCTGCGCAAAGCCTGACCTTGCCTGCACACGAGATATGAAGCGTGAGAAAACCGTAGTGCCATGTTTCCCACGAACCGATCCTCGGATTTACTCATAAATGTCTTACCATGGCATTGCGCCCCTGGATCATGACTTGGAGACTCGATGCACATTCCAGCTATCAATTCCCTCATATACATGTCATTTTTCGTGCCCGGAGCAATAGAATTATGCATCATCTAACTCGAGCCAAATACCTTCTGCTGCTTAGCAGGCATTGCGGCAGCAGCCCATTCATGAACGCCACATAGGCAGTAAAGCCACTCAACTCCTTGATAGCTAGTAGTACTGATGACCCCATACTGGTGCCACACCTCTACTTTCCACTCGCATGTTACATGGGATATTTAGATTAGAGCATGTACACCACGCATGTGACAACTGTATATATGAACGCCCCAAGGATGCAGCCTGCGTGCACACGTGTGTTCTATATATGGACTGAGAGGAGACGTGCACGTATCACACCAGTGTGAACCACACTTCTACTAATTCGCCGGAGCTCGGGTGCGCGCCAATGTGATGCACATATGAGCCGCGTGAGTTCAAGGGCAGCGTAGCCAGGTGCGTTGCCCCAGCCAGCTAGACCAAGGGACCGGCTGACCAGGATGTGCGTGCGCGCAATCAATGTTAAAATTCGCGGGCACCAGGAAGAAAATCAACGCCTTTGTGGAGTGAATCGAGGGAGGAGGCCGTGGGAGGTTGCCGATATCTCCGGTATCCCGGGAGTTATCTCGCACGGTCCCGAGTGATGTATCGGAAATGTGAATGACTCGTGTGGAGATGGATAGAGCTGTGATTGTTTGAATTTCGAACTGTTTTTGACACGACACAGGATGAAAATGACTGGACGATTAGGTGCAATGGATCACACGTGGTCTGGGGAATTTGAGTGAAGGCCATGTTGGAATTTGCACGTGGTCTTTTAGGGAAACCTAAAAGTTGGACATACTGGGAATTGAACTCCAGTCTTCTGGATCGCAAACTCAGCATGCACTGCCATTACACCCCCTGTTAGGCTGAGGTGGTTATTTCAACAGGCCATTAGCTGTCACTGCACACTCATGGGCAGATAGGAAGTATCAGGCACAAATAAGCATCAGCTTGCAGATTCTCTCCTCTGATTCCATGTCAAGTCATAAATTTCCACTAAATCTTGACCCGTTTGACCACTCTTATCCCTGTGGGAATCCATTCAATAATGGGGTATGGATGTCTCCCAAAATGGGCACTTAGTCATGAATGTGTGCATCGCTCGATGCCCTCTACCTGTACTATATCTTACCAAATTTAATTCAGTCATACCCCTATTAGAATTGATTCTGAGTTTGCGGAATGGGCTTCCAATTGCCGATTGTGAAGGCCCCAATTCCCATCAAGGGGGGTCATTTCGGGAAATGCTGTACACAGGGTACAGGGGGGGGTTCATGAGGGAGGGCAAAACTTATTTTCAGACGACATATTAGATTAAGTTATGGATCGTATGTACAGTGAGATTGATTGTTAAGCGAAGGGTGTATGTTATGAGAAGGGAAAAATTAGTGCCTTCGTGCACGTTTAGTCGCTCTGGCACTGTTGTGGGATCCACAATTCCATCCTGGGGGAATATATGATCCAAGCCCTTGACAAACTTGATGAAACTAATAAGGAAAATGAGTTTTTGTTATTGGGGTTGATGTCAGGGTTCAGCACCCTGCCTTAGGGTGCCCCGGACTCCCCACCTACTTTACCCCCTTTTATTCTTTGACTGTTGCCTTGTTGTTGCCTTTGTGTGTTGTGTACATGCACGCACGGGATAGCATGGGAACTTTCTGAGCGAGCAGCTCACCCAGAATGTTCCCACGGGTCACAGCCACAGTTCTGGGCAAGCAACTCGCCCAGAACGTTCCCACGCTTACTGGGCACTGCCACCTGGATGTTCCCTCCGGGTCACACTACACAACTCTAGGAGCTGTATAGTTGTGGGCATGTGACCCATTCCTTTATATAGCAACCATGCGGGGAGATGAGACCTTTACCCTTCTTCTCATCTCATGCCCCGCATAGGCAAGTGTATATTATCTTTCCTTTTTACTATACATCTCATGCCCCGCATAGTGTGAGGACAGGCCAGATGGGGGTTGAGGTCAGGGAGCCTCCGAGTCCGAGGCCGGGCCCTGACAGTTGAAGGCATTCAAACAGACTCACCCAAACTGTCTCGCATCCTGGCCACGGACAGCGTACAACAGTAGACCCATCAGCAATTTCAGCAGCCATAACTTCTGCATCACAGCATCTATGGAGAGCGCTCTCCAGCCGCTGTACTGCACGTATGGGGCGCCCACTTGGATGTGTGGTGGGCTGGCTTGGTTGGGTCAGCGTGTTTGTTGGCAGCAAAGGGTGGGTCGGCAGTGAAGGGTTGGTCAGCGGTGAAAGGCCAGTCAGCAGTAGAGGGCTGGTTGAAGGTGAAAGGCTGGATGGCAGAAAAAGGTTGGCTGGCGAAGGTTTGGTTGGTGGTGAAGGGTTGGTCAGGGGTGACAGGCTGAGATCGGTAGATGCAGGCCCAGGTGATGAAGAATTGGCTCTGCTGTTAGGCCATTCTAGGCCCTCTTCATTTGAAAAACCTTGCTGGGAAGTTGTCATGCTTGATTCTTCTAGATCGGTGGTCCAGAGAGAGAGTCACGTTGAAGGAGAGAACGAAGGAAGGTCAGTTGGGAGGTTCAAATGAGACCACCACCAAGCTGTTCCCTGGTTCTTTAGTTAGGATGGGGAAGTGTACTAGTAATATTTGTTGTAATTATAGTACCAATCCGAGTGTTTTGGCTAATTCTAATTTTATGGGTTAGTCTAAAAGTTTCTGGGAATTGACTTACAGATAAACTGAGCCCTGCAGAGCTGTTCCTTTATTGAAATTTCTTAATTTGTGTCAGGGCCCGGCCTCGAACTCGGAGGCTCCCTGACCTCAACCCCCATCTGGCCTGTCCTCACACTATGCGGGGCATGAGATGTATAGTAAAAGGAAAGATAATATACACTTGCCTATGCGGGGCATGAGATGAGAAGAAGGGTAAAGGTCTCATCTCCCCGCATGGTTGCTATATAAAGGAATGGGTCACATGCCCACAACTATACAGCTCCTAGAGTTGTGTAGTGTGACCCGGAGGGAACATCCAGGTGGCAGTGCCCAGTAAGCGTGGGAACGTTCTGGGCGAGTTGCTTGCCCAGAACTGTGGCTGTGACCCGTGGGAACATTCTGGGCGAGCTGCTCGCTCAGAAAGTTCCCACGCTATCCCGTGCGTGCGCGTGTACACAACACACAGAGGCAACAACAAGGCAACAGTCAAAGAATAAAGGGGGTAAAGTAGGTGGGGAGTCCGGGGCACCCTAAGGCAGGGTGCTGAACCCTGACAATTTGTCTAGGTGTAATTCTGTGTAGCGTTGTTTAATTTGGAATTTAACTTGAATTAAATCTTCTACTTGGTGAAGTTTCAAAGATTCTACTCAGTTAATGGATTAAGATTGTGTCTGGAGTGTCCCTTGAGTTTGTTTTATTTTTGTCTTATTTTATTGCTTGTTTTAACAGTAGCTGTCATATCCATCCACGGCCATCGACTTCCACTACCTCCGATCTCTCCGGACTACCTCCACTCCTTCTTCACTAACCTCGGAGCTCCTGCATTCTGCAATCACCTCCGCTTCCCTCGATGGTCACCACCCCCTCTTTTCAATATATTACCTACGCCTCCCTAAGTATGGAGCCCCGAAGGCTTCCGGACAGCTCTGATGTCCACTAGTGCATCCCTGCCTCCGCTGGGCAATACATTCACTTGTGTCACGACTGACAAATCCCGGGGCTCCATCAGCAGTGAACCAATGCCGATAGGCGAATCCGCCGACCCGAAACCCATCCTAACCAGCCCCCAACCTGATGTCTGGCCCCCCTGCCTTATTGCATGAGACTTGGCCGACAATCAGAACCTAGACCCTGCCGGTATTCTGACCTTACCTCCAGTTCCTGAGCCCTTGGCGCTCCCAGCATTCAGTCCCTCCAGTTCCTATGCCTGCCTTGTCTCCATCTGAACCCACTCATTGCTTCCCGCTATGTGGTCACAGCCATGCCCCACTTCCGTGCATTCTGCACCCTCTGCCCACTCCACACCCTCTGCCCATCTCTGCACCCTCTGGCCACTTCTGGTTGCCCTTGACACCTCTGGTCAGGTCAACACTCCCACTCCCCTCTGTACTTCTGTTGGCCTTCATGCTGTCCTTGTGCAACAGTGCTGACAGATCAACCTCTGTTTGCGGACTCGTGTCAGCACCGCACCGACCCTGCACTGACCCCGCTTATTTGTGGACTTGTATCGGCGCCGCATGACCTCCGCTTTTGTCCTCTGGCCATTTTTGTCACTCAGCAACATAACATTCATTCCTTGCCGAGTGCCTATTATGTTCACCCCAATATTGGCATTTGATCCATGTGCTATTGCACTTTCCTGTCAGAGACCAGACTCGAGACGAAAGAATGTCTCCGTAACGGAGGGCTTCGGCCTCAGTGACTTCTGCCAAGAGCGCTGTGCCTAGTGACACGTCCGTGCCCTAACTTACTGACTGGCAATTA